TTTCCAGTCGCATATTATAAGATTACTTAATTAGCCATATACAATTTCTTGTATGAGGAATTTGTCTTCACATACCCCAGCTTGGTCTCCATGAGACATACAGGCAGGGAGAGAAGCATGGGGTCACAGCACAGGGTCAGCCATTTATACAGCACCCCTGGAGCAGTTGGGGTTAAGGGCCTTGCTCAGTGGCCCAGCAGAGTAGAATTCCTCTGCCTACCACAGGATTTGAACCGGCAACCTTCCAGCCACAAGCAGAGATCCTTAGCTACAGTGCCACCACTCTACTAGTTTATACACCTTAGCAACACATTTCACACTGTATTAGAGATTTATTTTAAATTCCAAAATAGTGATCATTTAGAAAGTCCATTTCTTTTTCTCTATTTTTGTGTGGCAGTTCCAGAAGTTTATTATTCAAAGTAATTCATACAGAGGGGTAAAAAGTACTTGAACTGGATTAATCAGCAATTATTATGTAATCTGGATTGCCAGACTGATACTTTCCACTTTTAATGTGATATTAAAGAAGGATAATTGAAAACTAAATCATTAGAGCTCATGGAATATACTGTATTTTACTGGCGTAAATCGGAATGTGAAGTGCATCTGATGTATCATTTTCAGTCAAGGCAGTGAGGCTGTTGTTAATGAAGGTGAAAATGGCCTGATATTGACTTTATGTTGGAGGAGAGATAGGGTTAGTTTTATGATAAGAGTGGTGCTCACAGTGGTGAAAAGGTCAAGGCAGCTGTTAAGTTTAGTAACAGCTATGATTGCAGGTTTGCTTGTAATGGCCCTTTTTATTGAAGCATTAATCCATCAACGACAAATCCCTTGAAATTAGCATGTTTTTTTTTAAAACAGAAAAATAAGGATTTTTACCCCCAATTGACCTTCAGGAAAAACAGTAAGAACCTCCACATTATCTGGGATCTCCTGAAATAATTGGATGTGTAAATAACACAGGCTGTAAGAAAATGCGAGCTTTACCAGGTCTGTCAAATTAGTTTCTACAATGGGGAGCTGAAAAAAGGGGGGGCAGAGGTGACCTTTGTTATTAAGAGACATCACTGAAAAAGCATTTGTCTCTGTAATACAACCCTGTGCTTTTGTTGTTAGTGATTCATAAAAACGATGAGATATCCAAGGTATTTCTATTTTTTAATAACAAAAACTAATGTTACCATGCTTTTATAAATCCTTCATTCATGTTAAATTACACTAGAGACTGGCATCTACGTTTTTGTTTATATTTCTTGTACTGTGTCTGTATTTCTTGTGTTCCTGTATTTGTTTTGTGAATTACAGAGTGAGTTGGGGAGTGAGTTGCCCTTGTAGATTTTGGGACCATCTTTTTTCTCTAATATTTTGGAAGACACTGACTTGTTGGTGAATTACAGAGTGTGGGAAAATAATGGTTGTCAGGTATGCATGTATTATAGCACGGCAACAGAGCAAATTGAAACAAATGTGGGTCACTTTGCATTTCAGATCGTCCCTAGCTGTGTGCAAGCCAGGTGTTCTCCAACTGTCTCTTGTAGCCTTTTATCTTTTGTCTGGTGTCATTTTGTACTTTGGCTCTATTTTCATATCCACAATGGTTTTGTAATAGATATATGATACCATAAAGGAATGTCTGGCTCTTTGAATCAGCTGAAATTATAAATGAATAACTGCCATTCAGACTTACAGGTGAGGAGAACTAAATAATTTAACAAGTCCCGATTAACAATAAATGTTACAGGATGGGGCTAGACGGAATCTACCATCACCAACTACCACTACCTTTTAGTGCATCTCTAGATTTGCCATCAAATCCAGAGATGTGTTATTATTATTTCTGCAAAAATATGAGCTAATACATATGCAGTAGCAGCTCATAAAGTAGCAACTGACTATAATGTGTTCCATAAAAAATGGTAACAAACAGCAAACCAGTGGTGCTACAATTCTATTCTTCACCTTTGTCAGCATCTTAAAATTTGCAGCAGTGCAGGAATATATAGTAGAATGAATGGGGTTTTCCAGGGGTGTGACATGATGGAGTATATTCAGCATAATAAGTGGTAGCCAACTGACTGTGTTAATAATTCAATGTGTAGTTGAATAACATTTCATAATTCAAAAAGTCCATGGATGTCATTATTGAAACATGGGTCTATACTATGCATTCACGTATTGTATGATAAAAAATAAAGTGGAGATGTACTTGATGTTATTACAAATCTATGCCTCAAAATGTCAGCAGTTAAAATCAAACATCAATTCATACAAAAGTGTTTCAAGCACAATAAGTTTTCCATGTATTCTGGCACTTATGGGTAGATGTAGAAACTTGTAATTTTGTGTTGCAGTGGTAATTTAATCAAACCTGCTATGCCTTCTGTAAAGCAGTGTGCTGTATGACACACTCAAACTACTTTCCTTATTAAGTAAAAACACATGTTTTTTTGTGTTGCCTGTCAAATAAACATAACACTATCATTTCTTTCATACTAGGTTATTTTCTCAATTGTATTCCTCCCTGAGTTCAGACTAGTTTGAATGCGAAAGTTGATGTTGTTATCTCTAAGCTGCCTGAACCGTGGCCAAAGGATAGAAATATGGCTTTCTCTGCCTGTGGACACCATAGAGAATATGATTCAAATAACTAAAGGAGCAGAGGCAGTTGTAATGTGTAATAAGCACTACACATTCTAGATCTAAAGTCAAATTAAATAACTAGAATGTTTTGGAAAGATGTTTTTCTTAATTAAACATGATCTTCTCTGATTTACACTACTGTATATACTGTAAGAATGCTTTCCTATAAGAAATTGAAAAATAGTCATGTATTATGTATTCAGTGGTTTAGGACAAAATATAACTGCATTTTGTTATTGTTTGTTTTAATAAGGCATGCATATGTATTTTAGCCACATAAAATAATTGATTTTTGAGGAGTGATTGTGATGTCAGTTCCCATGACTCCTAACAGAATTCAGAATTCCCATCCCAAGGAACTAGTCTGAATCCAGGGTCTGACTGGATGCAACATATTTCTTGTTTCCAAAGTGCATTGCTTTTCTCAGGACAGTGTGAACCAGATGCATACTTGTGTAATAATAAACCTTATTAAAATGCTTCTTTTAGTTTGCCACATTTAAATTCATCCTTAATAAGAGGAATGGTATATTTATAGAGAGAGAATCAACAGATATACTGTATATTTATGCATGGATGTTTTTTTAAATACATTATTTAAATATCCATTGTATGTTTTGGGTGTCACTTTGAAAATGTGATTATTCATGATTGTTCGTGACACACTCAAGTGAATATTACACAAGCACTAAATCACCTCATTAGTGGGAGAGTTGACTGGGCACAGTTGATGAAGTCACTTAACCTCTTGAATGTCAAGCCTTATCCAAATCCCTTGATAATTCTGATAATACCCTTCCTGCAGGCTCATCCTGACACTTCTTCATTGCACATCCAAATGCTCCTTGTGTTAAAATGTCTTGTTTGTGAAATGAGAAAAATATAGTTATGCTGCTGATTCCAGCTGTAAGACCAATTGAAAATTTCTGATGAGCTGGGGTGACACGTGGAATCTACAGTAGCTCCCAGACACCTGTGACACCTGTGGCTTTAGGAGAGGAATGGGACAGAATCCCACAAGACAGCAACCTGCAACCTGGTGCTATAGTGCTCTCAATGATGTACAGCTTGTACCATTTCCAACATTGGCCACACTCTAGCCGCCTGTGACTTTCACATTTGAGACCCTGTAGATCAATCTTGTTGTTAATAAAATCAGCACAATGATTACCAGTGTTGGGTCAGGTCTGTAAAACTTCAGTGTACCTGCTACAAAAAAGTAATGGTTTTGTGAATTGTGTTGTTATTACTGTTGATTTTACATTTTCAGATATTTCAAAGTTTTTTTCTGCTGAGATCTAGAGGTACTGTCCAGATCTGACCACTACACTCAGTGACTCATTTCACTTAAGCAGTGTGATTGTCTGAAATATCTTGAATCATTTATGTACGATTGAAAAATTTAAGATCACCCCAGTATGTGCAGTACAGGACATGTCTTTTTGAGTACAGGGGATCCCCAGTCATGCTAATGGAGGGAAGATGTCTCTTTAACCTGAAGAGCTGGGAGAAGTTGTTAGATCAATCCAATTTAGACAAAAATGTGAAGGGCATTAAGCTCAGCTGGACCAAACATGTGTGGACAATGGCCCTCAAGGATTAGGTTTGAGAACCCCTAATCTAGTTATCTATTTAAGAATAAGCATGTACAACACTGAAATATTATCTGTGGATTTCTCATGCAAATCCTAAATTTCCTCTTACTCTCTGTTTACCCCTAATTTCTGTCTCTGAAGGAATAATAGATTAGGCAAACTTTGGGACAAAGGTGCCAAAGAAACAATCTTAAAAGTAAAACAAAAAAGGTAGGAAATGTGTAAGAGAGAGATGTAATATCTCAGGCAGATAGCAATAATTCTATAACTACAATGCATCTTTAGTGGGCCCATTAACCCTCAGTTGCCATGGCAATGAAAACTCTGACAACCTTCATGAAAAACAACTGGAAATAACAACTTTCATTGTCTGTTGTATGCCGCCCACAGAGAGAGCTGATGAGTGTGCTCTTTCCAATAGTAAACAGATTTGGAGCTCAATAGGAAGCTGCGGTTGTTGTTCCTGCCAGCCACAGCCTATCCAAACCTAAATAAATTCCTTTTAAAACTTTGTTCTTTGTGTGTGGGGGGGGAGGAGCTAGAAAAAAATAGATGTTCTCTGGGTAAGCAGGGAATGCCTTTCAAGCATTGTATGATCTAAAGGCAGAGGGTTATGGTAATGATGCAATGTTTGCTCAAGCTAAACCTGCAGGTGTTCTCACAGACACACTCACCTACCTGGGCGCACTGCTTTTCTCCTGTACGTTTCTGTTAGGCGCTGCCGAGCCCCTGACCTCTCTCCTCTCTTCTCCATGCCAGCTTCTGCCCGGCTGCCTGCCACGATCATGAGTGAAAGCCGCAGGGAAGCACTGGCAGCGCCACCCGCCACCACCGTTGCCCCGGCCTCACCTGGCAATGTCACAGAGCCGGCAAGCCCGGGAGGGGCCGGCAAGGATGATGCCTTTTCCAAGTTGAAGGACAAGTTCATGAATGAACTGAACAAAATTCCACGTGAGTACTGCAAAATAAGGCCGTTTATACAAGGTTTCCTTGCTTACTTGCTCGCTTAATTTCAAATGACTTTAGAAAATTAGGAGTGGAAGTGAATTCTAACGGGCAAGCCTTTTCTTGCAAATATCCTGACCAAATTTCCTTCATATTGTATGTGCACATCTGCAAAGTTTACTCAATAAATCATTCGATTTGGTTCTTTTGAAGCTGTGTGTTATATCATCTGAAGGATTAATGTGTTGTTAGAGCCTGGGTTTAGAAGAACATTCCATTTATTCATCTCTGTTTGGTTGCTTTTTGAATTGCCGCTCTGAGTGGATTTACAGCTGTCAAATAACATTATAGATGTACAAAATAAATCCTTCAGAAAAAGTGCAGATATAGTATGTTAACCCTGTCCTGCCTAAAATCCAGTCAGGGCTGGTTTACTGTAAATGAAATGGTTATGTTCCCCCTGAAATAAATGAATGAAGCAGTTCTCCCTGCTGCTGCTACATGGCTGCCACACATCACCAGAGTGGGTACTTCACTTCTGTGTTGGATGAAGTGCAGAATTATTATTTTCTCCACTAAAATATTGTTTTATTTTGGTGTTGGTAATTTGACAAGTACTGGTTATATATTTTGTCTCTTCTTCCATACTGTTTACTTTTTTATCTAAAGATTAAGAAGAATGTTTTTTTCTTATATTTTTGTTCATTGGTTCATTCTAGACGTGTTTGCCTCTTCACTAATTCTAAATGTTTGGACAGAGCAAGTCAGGTGCTTTGCATGTGTGCTGTTACAGGAATACAGTGCACTGCACTTGTCCTTGAATTCAAGCTATTCAAGCTTGAAACAAAAAGGTTTGTTTCTGTCACCTTTCTCTGTAAAAAAAAAAAGTTACTTTTAAACATACAGATGGGATTCATGTTAGATTGTTGGTTAACACCCTAGATGTGACAAATATGTTTTACATTTTTTCAAGGGTAGGAATTAATTAGATTCCAACAGTTCTTTGAAACATACATAGTAAGTCTCCCAGCAAAACACAGGGACAAACATGGACTCTTAATTCTGAATCCGAACAGGGGTTAAATACATATTTATACAAAGAAAAGCTTATATTTTGGCTAGTGTAGGTCATAAAATCTGTACAAAAACACTGTGATATGTTACAGGCCCTGTTGGAATCCTTTTGCAGATTTTTTCTAGTGAACAGTAATAAACTAAATGGTCTCTTCTAATCTGGCACTTTAAATTTTCACGTAAAACTTGGAAACGTAGAGTGCCCAATTATAACCCGAACATAGGCAGATTTTAATTCTTTAACACGTCTGTAAGTGATTGAAAAGTCAGAAATTTGAACACCATTTTCAATTCTAGGTGGTGGTTCAACTTAAAATAAATTACATTTCTTATCAACAAGTCGTGATAAGTTATTTCAGTTATTTTTGTTCTGGTTTTTCTCTAAAAAAGAACTAAGAAATTTTGGAAAAGCCTTTAAATTAAGTTGGTGTGTGAGGTACAGTAAGACAAAACTTTTTTTGAAAGATGTCAACAGAACTTTATTGGTTGTATCATGATTGTAGATGTTTTCGTAAAAGCATATCTGAAAGCCATTTGGTGTTTAAATCAAATTAATGTTGGGGAGCATATGGAAGCCATCATGAGCCAGTAGTCAGGGAATCATCATAGCAGTCTCCTGTGGCTGGGAGTAATTGGCCTTCATATTAAAACTGATTCTGAAATGGCTCTGTTTTAATATTCCTTGCTTAATGGACTACTGCAAAGCTACAATGAGCAACGTCTATAAACATTTAGATGCAGCTGTCAAAGGGCGTAAATATTTTGGTGATGCACATTCACAATTAATTTTGATAATGATGTTTCATTTTGTAAATTGTATGTATTTTTTTTGTTTTGTGTTCACTTGCATATGACACCTTTAATTGTCTTGATCCAGACAGATTATGATACGAATAATGACTCACTTCTGTAATGTTTTCATTTTCCATTGATCTCTGTATCTTAGTATCATTAGGACGACAAGTAAAACTAAAAAGCAGTTAATTCCCAGCGTCTCATTTCCTTTTGTTCTATTACACCCTATTATATCTGGATTAACATTTTTCCTTTACCAAATCCATTAACCATCCCACCATCATTATAAAGGTGTTAATTGTATCAATAATAAAAACGTACTTTCAGCATTTGCTTTCTCTTCTACTGCGAGAATTTGCAGAACACAGAAAAATAAATACAAATGGAACAGAAGATAGAAAAAGAAAACCTAGAGAAAACTGTCAAATTAATGGAATGAATACTTTCTGCCATCTACAGCAAGTAAACTAGAATCTATAAGATGCTAAATCAAAATCAAAATCAAAATCAACCCAATGCACTTTATTTGAATACATAATCATTATTATAAAAAGGGGAAGGCAAATTAAGAATATCTTATTTAACTCTTTTGAATTTTTTTTTCTTGAATTCTGGAAAGATCAAGTTCCGGTTCTTATTTATTTTCATATTTATTATTTTTCCAACTTTGCAAGCATTATTTGTCACAATCAAACCTGCTGCCGGCAGAAATCAAGTAGCCTAATAAATGATATGGCTCAATTACTACACATCAGGAAACAAAATCATTTACAAGTATAATTCTATACTATTAGATACTAAATACCAAGTTCAAGCAGCATCCAACTGTTACATGTTACCATTGTCACACTATTCAGATTGTGCTATTTAAATTATATTCAGTATCGTCTGCTGTGTAAGAGAAAACAGGATTTAAGTAAAGAGATTTTCTGTATCTGACTTGCAGTGGTTAGCCACAGAAGATATATACAGTATATATCACTTTAGATAACCATTTAAAACAATTGTAATCTTGAAGCAATCTCAGCCCTATAATTAAGAACATGTTGGGCTGCAATATGATTATGAAAACATACTTTGCATCTTTTTTAATACCTGCACTGCTGCCAGCTTTCAGCAATAAAAAAAATTGACATACTGTACATCTACAGTATATATATATCCATATACTGATACTGTAAGTGTCGAAAATATTTGCAATTTTTAATATTTAATATTTAATATTAATAGTTTTTATGAACTGGAGTATTGGAGGTTTACAAATAATGACTACTTAGGACCACTATGGATACTAGGGATACTATTATAGACTGTGCTAAAAATAATAAATTAACATTTTATGATGTTCTGGAAAACACAAAAATAGTTACTAAAAAGTCAGTGTCTGAATATATGAATCATGTTTTTTTTGCTGTTTCTTTTATATATTTTAGCAAACAATGAATTTAGAGTATGCATGCCACTACACATCCTAAACTTATGTTATGTTAGCTCCAAAAATCTAAACAATTTTAATCCATATATTAGATTTGCAACAAGACAGAAAATAAAAGCTTTGAAAGCACAGTAGTCATATACTAGAAATGTTTTATTTTAGAGTACCTGTTGTAAATTATATATTGTATCTGATTTCACTTTCAATAGTAAAGCTACTTTTGACCTACAGTACAATGAAGTGAAGATGGTCTTATGCTATAATATCCAGTTCAGGAAATCCACATAATAGATGCTTCCACCTACAGTATTATCTCTTTTTTTCTGTAGCAGTGGTGCTGTTAGTTCAAATAAGAATGAGCCATTAATGTGAAACAGCAGGTACAGTTACCACAACATTATTGCCTCTTAGAAGTGTGTGCACAACCAAAGAAGGTGTGAGAATACAATGAGTGATAACTCTTCCTTATGTACAGAACATACTGGAGCTACATACAGACACCTCTGCTTTGTTTCATTTAGTTTGATGGAGGTGCTGATTCTTTGATATTTTCCGACTCTGTCTTTGTTTAGGTGATGGTTCTTAAAGGATTTTAGAATCTTTCAGGAAATCCTCGCCCTTCCTTTTCCAATGCCACCACCTACTTAACAAACTAAGATAACTGCACAATACAGTCATAAAATCCCATTACCTGAGATGTGTGTTTCTTCTGTTTTATGGTTTCAGGACAGACCACAGTTACTGTTGTGGACCATAACTTAAATAATTTTGGACACATACAGAATGGGTGGCCAATTCAAAATGAAGAGGCAGGAGTTGTGCCCCTTTAGCATTATTTTGACCCTGGAGTCATTCAACTACAGTTTTGACCCCACCATACTGTATTTTAGGTGAGATTAGGCTGAGGAAGAAGATTGTGTGCATTTGATACAGGTAACAGGCTTAGTATTCTATTTTGCTTCTTATTATTATTTTATGTAAATAGAAAGATATTTCTTTTTAAAAATGTATATCTGGTAGTCCATCTTTAATATAAATGTTACTATAACAGAATTTCCTGTGGGTGTTCTATCAGTTCTGCCATAATGCTCTGCCACCACAAAGTGACATATACAAATTAGATTATTAATGGATTTTTTTTTCCTGTGAAAGGAGACTAGACACTGTGGCAGATGCACTTACTAGAGTGAAAGGTAACAGCTTTTATCTATCAGTTGAATTCCCCTGTGGTGCACAATAGAGATGTTCCTGGGAGGGGAAGGGCAGATGGGCAATTAAGCCAGTCATTTCCACAGTACAGTATGGACACTCAGTGTTTTGCAATATGAACTGTGACATATGATTATGACAGGATGTTGAGAGTCACCAGGGAATTCATAGGAAACCACTGGACTTAGAAAGTGGAGTCATAGCAAAACAAGCCAATTAATGGCAACCAGGCATTGGTTAACACCAAGGCCAATGACCTTCTGGCACATGAAAATACAGACACTCCTCTGGATAATGTACTGGAAATTAAATCAAATTCAAAACAAGATGAGCTGGATGTCTTCATCCATGAAGTGTCTTCATGGTGAAGATAAAAAAGCCATTTTATCGTATCATTATATTTTCAGTATTACTCCTATAATCTAGTTCAGTAGTCGATTCCTCACTCTAGAATTCACATTTTGCAGTACTGCTGACCAGAGGAAGCTATTCA